AATATGAATATATCTTAATAGATTTTTGAATGGGCTTGACTGTCAGAGGGAGCGGCATTGCAAAGCGCTCTTCAGAACGCCCTGTGCTTGCCAGCGACCTCACCATCCTCTTCCCCATCTTCCTTCTTATGTGACACTAGCATTGCCCATAGTAAATACACAAACCCAGATCTAGTTCACAAACTACACAGATGCAGAGCGGGATGAGGCTTGATGAGCTCACACATCGCTTGGGGCGTGTTGTGGGGCACCAGGGGACCTAGGTCCTAGTCCCAACCCTGACTTGGCGCAGACGCACTATGTGATCTTGGGCGGACTCAGTTCTCTGTAAATTTCACCCTCCTCATCTGTAAAATGCTCAGCCCTTTAGGATTAGATGGGATAGTAGTTAGGAACCTCAGGTTTAGGCTCTAGAGCCAGCTTCCAGTCTCACCTCTGCAACTTACCAGCTGTGAGATATAGGCAAGTCACTTACCATCTCCATTAAGTGGACAATGGGATTCAAATGGGCTTGTTTGGAGGATTTAGTGAGACCTTGTCTCTAAAGAACCTGGCAGATTTATCAACAATACATTAAGCTTTGTTTGTCTGGGGGCCCATAGGCCAGCCCTTCTTGTCACTTAGTTTAAGTTTCTCCCTGTTGAGGAAGCTTACATTTCCTCAATCAGATCCACATCCGTCCGTCTTCCTGCTGGCTCAGCACTTGGCAAGCACCAGAATCATTCGCAGAGAAGACATGATCCCCACTGGGTGTGAGTGACTCCAGCCCACATGCAGTTATTTTAATGCATGGCCAAGGATCTTATGCCCAGATAGAATGTGTTCTCAGGGGAGAGTCTTTCCTCTCCTACCCTTCAAAAGGCACAAGAAGACAACCACACATTGCATACTCACTCTTCCCTGAAATGTAAGCCTCATCAAGTAGTTTCATTCCTGCCAGCCCTCTCTGTACCCCCCGAATGCTGAGCGCTTGCTTCCTGACTGATGCTGGCAGGAAGGAGAAAGGAGGGCAGAACTCCTCCTTCCCTGCCCCATCTTTGAGAGGGAAGGAAACCCACACTTACGGAGCCACACTGACATACAAGCACTGAGCTAGCATTTGTTTAACTCTCTTACCTACTTTGTCGGGCTTGCTGATCCCCTCCTTGCACTTGAGGAAATAGGTTCCAAGCCGAGAAACGAGTGGTCCAATCCCAGCTAAGTAAAGAGCATAGCTGGGATTCAGACCTCGACTGGTCTGACATCCACAGTTCTTTATCTGGATACTTTATCCTTGTTGGTTATGGAAGGTTGGGGGGGGGTGTGGTTTGTACCAAACAGGTTTCCCATTATTCATTATGCCATGAGAGAGAAAACTGGTCTTCTAGAGCAGTATTTATCCAGGCATCTTCAATGGGTATTGCTAATGCACATTCCCAAATCAGAGGGCAGAGGGTGCTGGGTCTCCCAGTCCTCTCTTCAGATGGCAGCTCTGGACCCTGCTGTAGACTCTCATAGACAGAACCCTAACCAAATGAGGGAATGAGGAAGCGACTGAGCTGTGGGCACCCAGTTCCTTCCCTCAGTGTCTTAGTCCTGTCTGACTGCTGGATGTTTATTTCTCATTTCTGGAGGCTGGGAAGTCCAAGGTTAGGGCACTAGCAGATTCAGTGTCTGGTGAGGGTATGCTTTCCAATTCATAGTTGGCACGTTTTCCGTCTGTCCTCACATGGTGGAAGCGAGCAAGGGAGCACTTTGGGGTCTCTCTTCTAAAGGCGCTAATACCACTCATGAGCGTTCTTCCCTTGTGACCGAAGGACTTCTCAAAGATCCCACCTCCTAATGTCATCACCTTTTGACATGTGAATTTTCTGGGGGAGTGGGAGACAATCCATTACATTTGATACACTGTTCAGCCCCCACAGGAATAGAGAGTAAGGGCAGCAGGGGGTATTGAGGGAAAGGCGATTTTGTTTCCTCTATAAAAGCTTGGCTTCTGTCCTCCACTCTATAGAGGAAAGAACATGGGCTTGGGAATCAGACATGCTTATGTCTGAAGCCTGGTTCCCATGTTTGCCAGCTAGGTGGCCACAGGCAAGTCACTTTTTCACCGTTTCTTCCTCTCTCTGATTGCATGCCTTCCTAGGGTCATGGTGAGGATTAAAGGTGACGTGTTCAGTCCATGGGTGAGCCCCCCAGGAGAAGGCTCCTAGCCTAGGGCGTGAACAGTGGCCCCTCAATACAGGCTTCCCTTTCCCATCTCAGGTATCCCGTTGAGGGTTCTCTGGGGACTATGCTCAGGTATTCATGCCATTGCACTGGGCTCAGCCTTGCCTTGGTGTCTGCTGAGGAACATTGAGAATATGATCATTTATCACCAGGACCTCCATCACAGCGCGGCCCCCTTAGGGTCTTTTCCAGCTTAGCTGTTTCTGATACTATGTGATTTTCCTCACCTGGACTCTCCTTGTCCCCATGAGACACTCAGACTGTAGGTGCTGCCTCCACCCATCATTCAGGATTTGGCTCATGTAGCTCAGCTAGGAGAGCCCATGTGCCTGGCCCAGTCATCTGTTCTCGGTCCCTGTGTGCTGATGTTGGACATGGTGCAGGCGCAGTGAGTACTTAAACAGGTGGACTCTGGAGCCAGGCTTCCGAGGTTCCAAGCCTACTTTTCTCTGGCCACAGGCGAACTACAGAGTCTGTCTGTGCCTCTATTTCCCCATCTGTAAAATGGAGTTCATAATAGTGCTGCCCCTTAGGCCCGTTATGAGTGTTAAATTAATGCCAGTTACATTTTACTAATCAGGGTTATTCTGTAGCAGTCATGAATTGGCTTAATACTAACAGTGAATGCTGCCAGATATTAATAATTAATTAAGGTGATTTCTTAGAACAAAGTTTAGTACCATTAAGTAGTCTAGGCCAGGCCTGGTCACTCACCTATAAGCCCAGCACTTTGGGAGGCCAAGATGGGAGGATCACTTGAGCCCAGGAGTTTGAGACCAGCCTGGGCAACATGGCAAAACCCTATCTCTACAAAAATTAGACAGGCATAGTGGTATGTGCCTGCTCCCGAATATTCAGGGGGCCAAGGTGGGAGGGTCACCTGAGCCCAGGAGGTCGAGGCTGCAGTGAGCCGAGAGTGCACTTTGTTATGACTGTGTCATAAACAAGTTAATAGTCTATAAATATTTTATTGCTTTTCCCAGATTTGCTTTTCTTGTGCATATCTTATCTCTCCAACCAAATGTCCCCAAGGCCCTTTCTCTTGACTAGATGTTACGACGGACTCATAACTGTCATCCCAGGTTCCAGGTTTGCGTCTTCCCCATTATAATCAGACGGATCTTTCTGAAACCTAGAGTTACGGACGTTCCTCCCCCTGAATTTCCGCAATGCCCACAGTCTTGAGTGCTGAGCATGGGTCTCTCAGGTCCAAGGCCTGACCCTGCGACCCCACCACCACCCACACCGCCCCACATCTTTCCATCCCTTGTGTTCCAGCTAAAGCATTTGGGTTCTCATGTTCTAAATGAGCCACCTCACCCCACATGTCTTTCCTCTGCCCTGGGCCCTGTCTCCCTCAAACTCTAGCACAAGCATCTTCTTCTTTGATACTTCTCTGGTCATTCTTCAGCTCAGATTTCTTCTCTTTTGTTTTTTGAGTTGGAGTCTCGCTTTGTCTCCCAAGCTGGAGTGCAGCCGCATGATCTCGGCTCACTACAACCTCTGCCTCCTGGGTTCAAGTGATTCTCCTGCCTCCGCCTCCTGAGTAGCTGGGATTATAGGCGCCTGCCACCATGCCCAGCTAATTTTTGTATTTTTAGTAGAGATGGGGTTTCACCATGTTGGCCAGGCTGGTCTTGAACTCCTGACCTCAGGTGATCCATCCACCTCAGCCTCCCAAATTGCTGAGATTACAGGCGTGAGCCACTGTGCTTGGCTTCTCATTTCTTTTGATCCTCTCTCTATTATCACATTCAAATGACCTGTTTGTAGACACTTTTCCCCAATTGACCATGAGTGTGCCAAGGGAGGGCCCCAGTGTCCCATGTCTCTGGCAACTTCCCAGTCCTGTGTACTCTAGGCACTCAGTAGTGAGAACCAGCATCTTTTGAGCACTTACCACGTGCTAGGCATTATTTGCATGCTTCATAGGCATGAACTTGCTTATATTTCAAACAGCTTTATGAGACACTGTATCTATCATTCAACATCCTGGCAGGAGGCAGACACCACAGCAATTTGAACAGAGAAGTTAATCTTTAAAAATATTTATTAAGCATAAAGTGTTCAGTTGGTTCAAGAAGCACTACCCTAGAGCTGAAGGAAAGGGAGAAGAGGTGGAAATGATGAAAACCTGGGGCCAGGACTCAGACCACTAGGATGGGGTCACCAGCCAATTCAGAGTCAGTATCACTGGGCTGAGAAGCAGGGACTGCGTAGCATGTTCTGAGTGTGGGGAAAACTGCAAAATAGATTTTTCCTACTACTGCAGGAAACAGTTGCCACTGCTGGGCTGGAAAAATGGGACTAGGGTGATGCCCACAAGGACAAGAAGCAACAGGAGGAGCAAGTGCCTTTCTCCTCTTCCAGACCCTTGATGTCCTAGTCATGTCCCTTCTGGGCAGCAGCTACTGGCAGCCAGGTGGCCAAGCAGAATTGGGGTTTGCAGGGTCATGGCCTAAGCATCCCATCTTAGGGCGGAGAGATAACAATGTGATAACTGGCACAGATCATTCCCATTTCACAGATGGGGAAATGGAGGCACAGAGATTCAGTCACTTGCATGAGATTAAAGGACTACATAGAGCCAAGTCAGGCTTTGATCCTAGGCAGTCCCAGGGTTTGATCCCATCTGACCTGGCCTCAGAGCCGTTTCTCATAACCACTGTACCACAATGTTGAATGAGTGAACGAACAGACCCTCAAATCATGCTTAGCCCAGTGCTGAGCTGTGGCTTCCTACATGTGTGAGGGTCCTCTCCCACCTGACTGCCTCCTTATCTCCCTGCCAGGTCATTCACTGGAACTCCCCCAAGAAGCTCCGGGTGAAGAACAAGCACGTGGAGTTTTTTCGCAACCTCTACCTGACCTTCCTAGAGTACGACGGCAATCTTCTGAGGCGGGAACTCTTTGGCTGCCCCAGTGAGGCTGATGTCAACAGTGAAAATGTAAGTGGCTCGCAAGGCTCGCCAGGGAAGGGCCGGCTTCTCTACTCATCCAGCAAGGATGTCCCCCATGCCGGGCTCTGTGTAGGGCAGGACCTAGATGAACATGATGTCACTGGTGGCATTGTGTCTGGTGGGGGAGACAGGTACATCAGCGGTTCCCTTGCAGGCTGATCCCTGTGGATGTAGATGAGGTACATTTGGCCCAGACGAGGTGAAGTCAGAAGTGAGTCTCTAAGCAGAGGAAACAATGAGCAAAACCACCAGTGAATGAAAGATAAGTGTCTCTCATAGCCAGGAAACTCCAGCGTTTTTGTGGACATGATATCCACATGAGAGACCCGGGATTCGGTGTAGTCAGTACGGGGGGAAACACAAAAAGAGCTTTTCATGAGTAACTGGCTCCTTTTGGGGTCAGCATGGATGGGTACCGACAGTGTTAGGCAGGAGCTAAGTCACGCCATAGCTCTAGACTATGACAGCTGTTCCTGTCCCTTCACCATTTATCATTTGTAATTTGTCCATATGTTGTATCTCATATGATGTTCATAGAAACCCACCTTTTATTTTTTTTCTGAGAAGGAGTCTTGCCCTGTCACCGAGGCTGGAGTGCAGTGGTGCAGTCTCGGCTCACTGCAAACTCCACTTCCCAGATTCAAGCTGTTCTCCTGCCTCGGCCTCCCAAGTAGCTGAGATTATAGTTGTGTGCCGCCACACCCGGCTAATTTTTTGTATTTTTAGTAAAGACGGGGTTTCACTGTGTTAACCAGAATAGTGTCGATCTCCTGACCTTGTGTTCTGCCCGCCTCGGCCTCCCAAAGTGCTGGGATTACAGGCGCGAACCACCATGCCTTGCTGAAACACGCTTTTTAGAGTTGAATAAATTAAGGCACAGCGAGATTAGGCAGGTTGCCCACGGTCTCACAGCAAACAAGGAGCAGCGTTGAGACTGATTGGCAGTTTTTTGTGGGATAGTGAGAAGAGACACTTTAACAGAAAAAGCAGAGCATGTGGAGTCAGGCTGACCTGGGTTTGGCTCTAATTCCTTTCAGTAACTACCTGTGTGACCTCAGATAAGTCACTCAACCTCTGTGCCTCACTTTCCTCAACTGTCAAATGGGGAATACAAACTTTTGTGGGGCTGGGTGCGGTGGCTCACACCTGTAATCTCAGCACTTTGGGAGGCTGAGGTGGGCAGATCACCTGAGGTTCTGAGTTTGAGACCAGCCTGGCCAACATGGTGAAACCCTGTCTCCACTAAAAATACAAAAGTTAGCCGGATGTGGTGGCGGGCATTTATAATCCCAGCTACACGGGAGGCCGAGGCAGGAGAATCATTTGAACCTGGGAGGTGAAGATCATGCCACTGTACTCCAGCCTGGATAACAGAGTGAGACTCTGTTTCAAAAAAAGAAAGGAAAAAAAACTTACATAGGGTTTTTGAAAGTAGCTGAGAAGTCGCATGCAAAGCACCTAGCTCGGTGTTGGCCCTGTGTTAGATGCTTAGTAAATATTTGCACTCTGCACTTTCCTTGACCCTTAGTACTAGACACAGAAGTATCTGGTTCATTCATTTAGGCAGCAAACATTTACTGAGGACCTTCTACTTATTCTGCACACTGAGTATTCATAGGTGAAAAAGGACTTTGGTTCCTGATCTCATGATATTTATATTCTGGCGGAGGAGACACAGTTAATTAAGTGAACTATCAGAAAAAAAAGATCAGCCAGTGGTAGCTGCAACATCGCAGTGTATTCCTGAGCCGCTGAGCAGCTCCACTGGTTTGAGGATTTCTGTGAGGAGGTGATGTTGAATCTGAAACCTCAATGCTATGAACAAGTTTGCCATAGAAGAGCAAGGGGAGCACATTCCAGGTGGAGGAAGTAGCTGGTACAAAGGCCCCTGAGGAATGACAGGTTTGGGGTAGGAACAGAAGGATGGCCAGTGTGCCCAGGAGCTGGTGGACAGGGAGGGCTCAGGGAGGCAGAAGCCAGACTGGTAGGTTGTACATTGAGCTGAAGAGTCAGAATTTTAGGGCCAGGCATGGTGGCCCATGCCTATAATCCTAGCACTTTGGGCAGCTGAGGTGGGCAGATCTCCTGAAGCTAGGATTTCAAGACTAGTCTGGCCATCAGGGCAAAACCCTGTCTTTACTAAAAATACAAAAAAAATTAGCTGGGTGTGGTGGCACATGCCTGTAATGCCAGCTACTCGGGAGGCTGAGGCAGGAAAATCACTTGAACCCAGGAGGCAGAGGTTGCAGTGAGCCAAGATCATGCCACTGCACTCCTGCATGGGCGACAAAGCAAGTCCCTCTCTCAAAAAAAGGTGAGAGGATTTTGATTTATTATTATTGTTGTTGTTGCTGTTTTTATAGGTATTTTGGATGTAGTGAGAATTCTTTTAGGCTCCCAATGGCAGGACAGGGCACCTATGGAAGGACCAGAGACATGTGCTCACCAGGCCTTTTATCAGAGTGGTCCTGGTCACAGTGCACCCCTGTTCCTCTGTTATTGGGTCCCCAAGTCACAGTGGATCACCGCTGGCTCCGGCCATTCTCCCTATCACCCTAGATGCCTTCTCAGCATCTGCCCTCCCTCGCATCTGATGATAGAGGGAAAAAAAACATGAAACCCTTGAACTCTTTCAGATTCTGGGAAGCACTTAGAGGTTTCAGCAAACACTGTTCTTACGGTTTTTCCTTCAGTTCTGTTTGCTCACATCCATATTTGTCATCATCGAGATTTGAGTGTCCATGCGGCACATTTTTCCAAACATTAAATTGCGACTCTTCTCCTATCTCGTTTTTTGCCGCACTCCATGGAGAAGCCTCCAGTGAAAGGCCTTGCAGGATGAAGCCGTCAGTAATCATCCGTATCGGTGTGCTCCCATGCCATGCCGCTCAGTGTCATAAAAAGTGGGGCTCCTTTTATAAGTGACTAGCCAGCTTTTCTACCATCTCCTTCTCCTGGGGGGGATCATTGAGGTGAGGAAGTCATCGGTGGTCTTTCTTGGAATCTGACCGTATTTATTTGCTCAGTAAGAAGGTGTGAATGCTGGCCAGTTGCCAGGAGCCACTTAGAGCACCGGGGTTGAACTTAGAGGCTGGGCCCGCTCCTGTATGTAAGTGGCCTGCTGCTTAACAGCTCTTAGAGATGCCAAGAGGAAAGTCTGTCCAGATCAAGAGGCTGATGAATGAGAGAGCAGCCTGCTCTAGGCAGTCACCATGGCCGTCACCCCAGTCTCTCTCCCCTCTCCCTTGACCACTCTGCATGGGCCACACCCACCTCCTTTTAGTGCCTTTCACATTCCAGGCTCACCATAGGACCTTCCTGCTTGCTCTTTCCATTGGTGGGGACGCCTTGTCCCTTTGTGAGACCAGCCTGGCCAACGTAGCAAAACTCGTATTTGTAGGGTGATGCGTTATTGTCAAGAGGGCCTTGCTCCACCAAAGAGACTTTCCAACTAAAGGAACCTCATCTTTTTAAAATGCAAAGCCATTAAAATAGATAATTTTTAACCAATTTGGGCAAGAAACCTTGCTGCTAAAATATATGCCTTTCCTTTAGTCACCAAATACTAAACTCAGTTTAGTATTCTACTCAGTTTACAATTTTTGATGACTAAGCTTGCATTGAAAAGGCTGGAGGAAGTGAGGGGGTTGGCCAGAGGAGGAGAGATAACTGTTTATCAGGGCAGGAAATGGCTCCAGACTGTTCACTGCTTTTTATGCGGATTCCCTTCTGACAGCTGTCACTTTCTGGGGTTGCGTCCTTGTTCCTTCTTTCCAAGGTGGCCAACGTACCGCCCTTCCCCCCAAAAAAAGTAGTTAATTTAGAAAGACTGACAGTAAAAGAATGATCTGGGCCAGGTGTGGTGGCTCATACCTATAATCCCTGCACTTTTGGAGGCCAAAGTAGGTGGACCATTTGAGGTCAGGAGTTCAAGACCAGCCTGAATAACATGGTATGAAACCCCGTCTCTACTAAAAATACAAAAATTAGCTGGGCGTGGTGGCGGGCAAAATTACTTGAACCCTGGAGGCGGGGGTTGCAGTGAGCTGAGATGGCGCCACTGCACTGCAGCCTGGGCAACCAGAGTGAAACTCCATCTCAAAAAAAAAAAAAGATCTGTTGTTAGGTTAAAAGATAGAACATCCACAAAGTAAAAAAAAAAAAAAGATAAAAAGACGACACCAATGAATTTTTGAAGGTATATGGAATTGTAAGTCAGCAGCCATTGTCTCCATCCCCTGTCCACAGCAGACATCACTAATTGATGACTGCATTATTCCCCTAGGCCCAACTCCATTATCCTCCCCAAGACAGCACTCTGAGAATCAGTGTTGATCTCCTAGCCTCCTAATGACAGCAGGGAACCAAAGCCTGCTGGGTATCCCTAGGATAGGTATTAGTCACTCTGGTCTCTTCTGCACGAGCACAGCTCTTTGTGCTGTTCCAACACCTTTCTCTGCTTGCTTCTAGCTTTTGGGAGTTGGAAATGTTCTGCAGGGAAAGAAAGAAACAGAAATACAACTTTAATCCTCACCACAAAGGTAGGGAGGCATTAGGAGTCACATTTCACAGATAAGGAAAGGAAGGCTTCAGAGGAATGATTGACTTGTTCAAAGCCATACAACTCCTAAGACCTGGGGCCGACATTAGAAACCAGGTCTACCTAACTCTAAAGCAACGAGACAAGGAAGTGCTTCCCAAATGGATGTCGCTGTGTATGTCCTATTCATATAATAGTAACTTACGTTATTACATATATCCAGGTTATTCCACAATTCTCCTAATTGTTATATGGATATAGTTTTCTTACTCTTTCACTAACCCTTCAAGGTAGTGACTGTTATCTCCATTTTATACAGAAGGAAATAGAGGCTCAAACAAGTGAATACACAGAACAGGTTGGTGGCAGAGCTGAAGCCATTATCAAGCCCTGATTCATACTTGAGTGGTCTCTCTACAAATATTTAAAATACTCTCCTATCTAAAAT